GCCGTTATTCGGCCATCTTTGATCTGATTATGAAACACACTGATATGTATGATGTATGTGCCAAATACGAATGAAAATGGTACATAAATTGTGGAAATATAGTAGTAAGGCCAAAAAGTCAGATGGCTGTCAATCGGCCATCCTTGACCAGATTTTGAAAGAAATTGTCATGGACATGCATCCTAACATGTATAAAGTACATGTATGTGCCAAATTTGAATGAAAACTGACAGAGTACGTCCAAGATACTGCATAAAAAAACAAAAACAAGATGCCTGCCAGTCGACCATCTTTGATCCAATCATGGACATGTATCCTAACATGTATAATCTATGTACCAAGTTTGAATGAAAACTGACAAAGCATGTCCAAAATACAACATTTTACAAAAAACAAGATGGCTGCCAGTCGGCCATTTTGAATCGAATCACTAAACCACTGCATGTGCATATGTCCCACATAAGGTACTAGGCACATGCAAAGAATGAACGGAATCGGCCCACAGGATTCTGAAATATGACTCTGGACAGACTGACGCACGAACAGACGAATGGACACACGAACAGATGGACGGACAGACTCAAGAACTCACAGATGGTCGGGACATGTATCCTAACATGTATGATCTATGTACTAAATTTGAATGAAAACTGACAAAGCATGTCCAAAATACAACATTTTCAAAAAACAAGATGGCTGCCAGTTGGCCATCTTTGATCCAATTGTGAAATCAAATCATCATGGACATGTATCCTAACATGTATAATCTATGTACCAAGTTTGAATGAAAACTGACAAAGCATGTCCAAAATACAACATTTTCAAAAAACAAGATGGCTGCCAGTCGGCCATTTTGAATCGAATCGCTAAACCACTGCATGTGAATATGTCCTACACAAAGTACTAGAAACATGCAAAGAATGAGCAGAATCGATCCAAGGGATTCTGAGATATGACTCCGGACGGACGCACAGACGCACGGACAGAGGCCGAAATATAAGTTCCCATTTTCAGACTTCGTCCGAACGGGGACTAATAACCCAGCAGAAAAAATTCACATTAAATTTTGCAAATTTCTCTTAAAAGTAAATTGCAAATCACCTAACAATAGCATGCCTAATGGAGTTGGGTTGCTATCCTCTCATTGTTACTAGACACAATTCAGATGGTAAAATATTGGATAAAAATATCACAGAAGCTAGAATACACTCTTCTAAATGAGGCATATAGACTAGGTATCGAACTAAACAAAATTGGCACACCAAACTGGGTGTCAAGCATCAAACAAACTTTAAATTTGATAAACAAGGATGACATCTGGAAAAACCACACTTCTGAAACTAATAACAAACTTATTACCACAGTCAAGGAGAACATAAAACAGGCATTTCAGAGTCACTGTGATCAATTTCTATTCAATGACAAAAAAGGAGGCAATCATAGAAACAAACTAAACTTACAGAGAAAATTGAACTCAAAAGTTATCTTGGAGTAGTCAAAAATCCATTCCATAGGTCAGCATTGACAAAATTAAGGATAAGTGCACATACTCTACAAATTGAGAAGGGCATATATACAAACCACGCCTTACAAGATAGAAAATGTCAAATTTGCCAGAACAGAGAGATTGAGGATGAAAAACATTTCCTCCTAACATTCACACTATGATGCATTAAAGGGAACCTCAATCCAAACAACATAATGACCCCTAAAGAAAAAGCTCCACAAATGTAGGAGAATGCAATTTACACTCTTTTTTATATCAGTTTTCATTCTCTAGATATTCAACTTTTCATCGTTATTATGTAGTCAGCCATCTTGATTCTCAAGCAAAGGATTATGGGTAAAGTATGACATCATAGAATCTGTTGTCAGAAATTGAGAAAATTATTTCATCTATAACA